CAATCAATCAATCAATCAATCAATCAATCAATCAATCAATCAATAAAAAACAATCAATCAATGAATATTTTTTTGTTTCCTATTTTTTTAATTATTTTTGCTACCTACTAAAAAACACCCCCCCAATATATTTTTAAAAAATATTTTTTTAATGCAGGCCTGTAGCTGTCAACGTGCGCCGGCTGCACGCGCGCGCAATTTTCCTGCCAGCGCCCCCGCCGGGCCGTGGCGCGGATCTGCGCAAACTCGGCTGAGTGGTCTCGGCTGCGAGCTTGCGGCCGACCTCCTCGGCCGAGGCCGAGGCTGTAGGATCCGCGGTCCACGGTGTCACGTAGCTCTCATATAATCCGTGTTATCTCGCGCATGCTATGTAACTGTTATCTCGCGCATGCTATGTAACTGTTATCACAATCAATCAACCGGTATGTGTGTGTCAAAAACGGAAAAAAAATAAAAAAAAATAGTCTTTGGCTTTTTTTTATTATTATTATTGCGAGGAATGAGCTCTCGCAGGACCCTTATCAGAAATACACAAGTTCTGGGCAGAGGCCACCAGCAAAAGTGCCTGCCCTATGTGAAAGCAGGCYTGAGTATTCACTAGAGGCCGAAATTCGTTTCACCAGACGCCGAACTTCGTCATTTTTCATGTGGATAACGTGGGTACTCAGGCTGTTGCAGCCCGCCAGTTGGTTAAATGGACGCGTTAGCCTCCCTAAGTTGCATCGTACGGTTGGCCCAGCCTCCCAGGCCTTGGCAGTTGCACCTGGGCACATACACACAATGCACGGTCGATACATCACGAACTGACCACAGACCTACACAAAAAACAGCATTGTCAACGTACCTACCCCGGGTCCTGCGCAAATGTTGTAAACGGCCCAAGTCAGGAGACTTAGGTCATGCCCAACTTTAAAGGGCCCACACCCTCAATTGTAGCCTGCGGCCTGGGCGCCGGCACTGGGGCCCAACCGGTACCTACCGGAAGCTTCCAGCAACGCCACACGCAGCCATGGAGAGGCTGCTGCTTCCATATAGGAAGGTTGGCCGTCAGGGTCCAGCATTCTGGCCCACGCAGGCAATGCGGTCATGGTGTTGCGCTGTTGCGTTGGAGGTTGCGTGCTGCGATGAGGCCAGAGCGTGTGCGGGTGCACGTGTGGTGAAGAGGGGCGCTACAGGGCAGTGGAGCGCTAGCAGCCATAGCCGGGCTGCARGGCGCTAGGGGGTAAGAGGGATATCGGTGGTCTTCAGGAAGGAGGCGAGTATGGGTGGACACGGTCTAATGAGGGGAGACGAGATACATACCTGGTACATGTAAGGGGTCGGTTATGGTGTTGACATTATGTACATTGGTCTTCGAGGGTCGAAGTGAGCCTGTTGTGAGAATGCTGATAGGGTAGGAGAGTCAAGTAGTGTAGGCTGCGTGCTGGGCGCCCRACAGCGAGGAKCGACTTTGAATACTKTGTTGGTGTGGCCGGAGGGYTTGGACATTGGCTCAGTACTTCATTGTATTGCTCTTATTCGGATGGGATCTCGGTGCATTTGTGCGCTCTGCTTGTACACAACTACTTGGACATCTGTGTGACTTCGCAATTCTGCATATCGTTCTCACTCATATTCCTTGAATCCTTGCAATTTGGTATCAGAGTTGGTTCGTGATCGCCGCTTACCTGGAGCTGGCGACATTGTTACGTGGTGCGCTGACAATGCTTCTGTGCACTAAGGATACATTTGCGCTGGCTTGATAGAGCGGGGACCAGGTACAGGGACCGGCCACTGGAAGGCTGTGACGACAGTGTGGGAGTTGTGGCGACAACAGATGTATGTATAATGACGAGAGCATGCTGATGTGGCAATCTGGCTAAGGTGGCACAACATTCTATTGTGGGTGGTACAGAGGCTATGACCGGTCATCGAAAGGCACGTAGGCTCAACTAGTGGAAAATTTGTGGTTGGGGGCAGCTATCTCCAGGTACGTTGTTCCCTTACCTTATCTACCCTCTCAATCTCTTCTTACCGCGAGGAAGTGAGCGCAACATTGAGTGTCCTCTCTTTTGTAAGGAGTCGTGAGCACTCTACCTTGAGAGACAACATTTTTCTCGGTGGCGCATCTTGAAGGAGAGGGCGGTGCCTCTGAAGGGCCCTGGCCGAAGCACGGGTCATGGTCACCATGCCAACCCATGAGAGTAGTACACGCGGGCCAYGCTGCTTTGTCCTTTGAAGGCTCTTTGCTGCACTGATAAAAGTGATGTGCGGACTGACCAGTCCTATATACACGCTTTCCAGACCGTCTATAAATATTTTTGGCGGGGGTCTGAACTGCACACTGGCTGTGATCGTCGTCTTGTCTGCGACGTTAAATAATTCATGAGGACRTTGGGGATTGTCCTTAAACTGCCTCTTGAACAACCAGATCAGTCAGACGTAAGGCTCSTTGCACACGAGGGTAAGGACRGAGCAGGCTGGTCATAAGCATACACCTTGGGCACGGGGTTGGGCCGCTAATGCACACCTTTGACAATAACACCTCACARACAGCCTATACTAGAACTCTGGTGTTCGTCCATAACATRTTTYCTTTGAAGTTGTTGCAAGAGAACTAATCGAAGTAAACTTACATTATGTATACAGTCCGTGTGAATGCAGTTGATAGCACTGAAATGGTAGTCTAGGTAACTCGCCAGATACTTATTTTAATTTTATTTATTTMTAGACCTGATTAGATGCATGTTGTGGTAGGTTCCAGATTGGACACTAGTGTAGGCAGTGTCTGCCTAGCCGACAAGTGGATCARAGGGTGGTGAAGGTACAACAAATGCTAGAAGGTTCATTAGGCGTGATTCACT